TCGGCTTCTGAAGCCCATTCTCCACCAATAAAGAAGAAACAAGATTTCCAGCCGCCGCAATTAGAGCGCATCCCTGTAAGCACTGTACCACTCCGCGCGGTAAAATAGTACCATCCCCTATTTGGTGTAGGGGTTTCGCTCAAATTATATGCTGCATGAAACTCCATAGGGGAAGCATCCTCGTGGTGCACCTTTCTCCATAAGGCAAGAAAACCGAGCAGGACTCTCCAACCGTTGGGCGCTAGTCGCCCCGGAGTCAAGGAGAAGTAATGCAAAACTCGACAAATGGGGGAGGACATGGGAAATCTTAACCCAGCCTCAAGCATCTCCTCGTAGACAACAATATCCCCGGAAGAGTCATCGCAAGCAAACTCGCCCAACTCAGCCCGACGACACAACACGGTCGGAGGGATGCGATAAGTAAAAACAAGCCTAGAAATATCTTCATCTGAGCAAAACAAACTATGAAGGGTGCTCACCTTAGACCCGTCATCATCAGGTCCCACTTTGCTATTGCGTTTCTTCTTCCGGGGCCTTAAGGAGTAGTCCAAATCACCATTGGGAGAGTCTTGAGGAACTTGAATCGGGGGAGCTACAACGGGGGCTTGATCATCAAGAGCAGCACCCAAAGCTTCCCTACTACTTGCAATGTCTAGCCCAACGCCTGAAAGTGTGCCTGACTGCTGTTGCTCATCAAAACAAAGTTGCCCAGTAGCTTGAAGGGTGCTTGACCCTTCATTATTGCACAAAGCAGAATTTTTGGCGCAAAAATCAGCACCTAAGGCGCCCAAATCAGCACCTCGAGTGAGAATCGGATCAGCCCGTGCTCCCAGGCCACTGCCTAGCTCTCCCTGACAAACCTTGGACTGATTTTCAGCGCCCCTCGATAGAAAAATGTGCTGCCCAGCGTTCCAAAGCCGCCCAACGCAGCAGATCTGAAGCTGTCCGGGACAGCAAGGCCAGCGCCCAGACAGCTACCCAGCGCACCTGGGCTGTCCAGGACAGGAGGAGCAGTGCCTAGGCAGCTGCCCAGGTCCCCAGCGCGCGCAGAGCAGTCGCCCAGGCCCCCAGCGCGCGCGCGCTGCGCAGCCGCGCGCCTGCGTTGCCCATCTCCCCTTCCAGCGCCCCTTCGCTGCCCAGGCCCCCAGCGCGCGCGCGCGCTGGGCCTCCCCTTCTCTGTCCAGCCTTTCAATTTCAGATCCACAGCTTTCTTCAACCTCCACCAATCCCTCTTCAATCGACATTGTTCACTTGAGAAGCTCAACTAGCAAGGAAGAAATCACACTCTTGAAAGGATTCAAGGAGAACACACACTTTGACTTCAACAAAATGGGTAGGACTTGAGTTCTCAAAATTTTCAAGAGGTGGGTGCTCAACCTTAAAAATAAGTGAAATGGTAACATGAAGAAGAAGACTATATTTATAGTCTAGGGTTTTTCAAAAAGAGGAAAAAAATCCAAATAGAACATTATGGGCCCTCTTCAAAATAAAGTAGGCAAATAGAAAATTATGATCCCTCTTCAAAATAAAGTGGCCAAAAAGAAAGTTATAAGCCATTTTCAAAACAAAAAGGCCAAATAGAAAATATTATGGGTCTTCTTTAAAATAAAATGGAAAAGACTTGAAAATATATATATAATAATCAATGCCTCCTTCTCCAAGTCTCCTTGGACATGGGGCATTGGGGGGCAAATAATGGGTTAAGCCCAAATAGCCCAATTTATGTGTTAAAGTCCAACCCCAGTTGAGGAGCCCAACCTCATTGTGAATCCACCAAGTCCAAGACAGTCCAAGGCCAGTTAGACTTTTTGCTTAGCACGTCACCAAGAGGAGAGCATGGGAAGCTTATCTGCACCACCAAAGGAAACGGCCCAAATCCACCAAGTCCAAGACAGTCCAAGGCCGGTTAGACTTCTTGCTTAGCACGTCACCAAGAGGAGAGCACAGGAAGCTTATCTGCACCACCGAAGGAAACGGTCCAATCTTTGACCGCCTTTCATGAGGAGTTCCCCAACCTCCTCCTTCCGTTGAGGATAAGTCGTGATCTCCACCAAGGATAATCTCTGAGCTGCGATAAAGAAGCCTTGAGGATATGTCATGATCTCCACAAGAATGATCTCTTAGCTGCTATAAAAGGGCTCCAATCTGCCAGAGAGGAAAAAGACATCCCACCAGAGACATACAGAGGACGAACCGACTACCGGAGATTACTATTTTTCTTTGATTCTCCATTCTCTCTCTCAAAGCTTGTATCTCCATTCTCCATACCTTTGAATCAATAAAACATCCGGCAACTGAAGCCATTGAAGAGTGGACGTATGTCGAATTGACCGAACCACTATAAATTGCGTCTTCTTTAATTCTTTCATTGATTTCATTGCATTTATTATCTACACTTGACGGGTGGTGTGGTTCCATTCCCACAGGAAATTTTTGCACAAATCAAGGTTAGAGAGGGCTTTTTGAAAGGCAGAGCCTGGGTAAGTCATGTTCCAACTGGTTTTAACCACCTCTTCACATTCAAGATCCTCCAACCACATAGACTCAAACCTGAATGTGTAGGGAACCTTCTTTCTTCTTAGGCCAAGATCGATCAGTAGTGGACAATGATCTGACCCCATTCTAGTTTCATGGGTCACCTGTGTGGAGGGGAAGGAGGCTCCATTCAGGATTGACCAAGACTTTATCTAAGCGCTCTTGAACATTAGCCGGACCTAGTCTGTTGTTTGACCAGGTGAACTTAGGTCCATTGAATCCCATCTCCATCATGCAGCAATCGGAAATAAGTTTCTGCAATTCCTCAATTCTCCTTGTGTTGCTTGCTAAACCACCCTCTTTCTCTCCCATGCCTCCAATTACATTAAAGTCCCTAGCAACTAGCCAAGGGGTCTCCACAATTCTGGCCAAATTTATCAGCGTATCCCAAGCTCTCCTTCTCTTCTCCAAATTTGTATCAGCATAGATAAAAGTGCATTGTCATTCATTCGCGGACTGTTGTGAGTATACTTTAGGATTGATCAAGTTCTTGTTAGTCTCAGTCACTTGCAGGTTAATGCCATCACGCCTCTTCTTTAAATCCAGTAGTTTTCAGGTGTTTTGTTTTTAGGTTTAATCGTATTTGGGATCTTCAAAGTATGAGATTTGATTTATTATGACCTTTAAAATTTTAATTCCATCATTTTAATCTCTGAAATATTGAATATATTTCTATGTGGTCCTTCAAACAAGAGTCTTGTTAATCCTGAAAGAAAAGTCGAAAGAACTACAGTAACCCAAATAATTTTTTGTCCATATTTTAGTACCATGTGACAAGTTTATGATAAAAAAAACCGTTATCAATTTAGGTATTGTTTACTTAACGGATCACATAAAAATATATTTAATTCGTTAAGGTCCAAAATAATATAATTATAATATTATGAACCAAAATAAGACAAACTCTATATTTTGGGATCTCTGGTGCATTTAATCCTAATTTTTATAATAATATTTTTATTGACTTGAGACAATTTTAATTGACTTACACACACTATATGATTGTGCTAAGTGACATGCATATATTATGAGAAATTGTCATAATGTATACTAACTTGTGGGACACATAAATTAATTGTTTTTAAAAAAATTCTTACAAATTAATTAATAGGTGGTATACATTCATTAAAAATATATAATATTTTATTGATAATATAACATAATGGTTGACACTGTTTGAAAACTTTTTGGGGCTGGATGAATATTATTACAAACTATTGGCATGTGGAATGCAATGGATTGTACAACTCTCACTCAATGCTATATACAGTGAATGGCAAGGCCCCTCATCGGTTAGATTTTTCTGTCCGAGTTGGCTCTCAACGGCATGGTAACAACAGCATGACAAAGAAGGGTTTCTCGAGTAGTTCAAATAATTGCAAATCTCCAACAAATTTACCGTCTAAGTGTCACTAGTCGCATAGGCATGACAATTCTAAATACGATTCATGAACAATGAGGCATTGCACTAAGCGCATATTCGTATAGCATCGTGACGTGCAAATATCCGGTCTTTGACGATCGTCGTAAGAATAACAAAACTTATACTTTATGTGTGTTCTACATGACATCACTTATACGCGATACAAAACTGATTCGACTCAAGTGTATTTAACGTAGTTCAATCTCGAATGCGAGTTTAAATTGTTGTGCAGGGTCGCCTCAGTAAAAGCTTGCAAGCATTTAAGCTCAGCAACTAAGCCTAAACTTAATATTTTATTAAAAAAAAAATTAAAGATTAAACCATAGAATATAATACTCAATCTCAACACAATTAATTTCTCACAAAAAAAAAAATTCCTCCAAAAAATAACCATAAAATTGAACCCTATAAACTCATATTTCTCAAAACATCTATAAGTAAAATGAGAAAAAACGAAAAGTACAGATGGCCTTGGCCATTCTTGGAACAATTGGGTACGTTCGTCTGTTAATTAAATCGTGCTTATTGACCAATAAAAATAGGAATATTTATTAGACAATAATGTATTCGAGTGAAGCCGTGCCAAATCGAGTCCTATGTTATCTTGATTTGGTTCCATTACCCAACAAACTTAAAAAATGTGACTGAATTTTCGTAACATTTGCAATTTAAACGAGCTAAACTGAGTTGAGCTCAAATTCCTTGGTCATTTGATAACCCTAGTGGTGAGGTTGGCACTACAAGAAAAACAGTAATTGTCAGCGTTTAATCGCCTGATAAGAATATACCTATTCACTATATCAAAATGACACATATTATAGATTCACGAAATTTCAATTAAGTGCAAAGGAAATGATGAACCACTCCATTGAATAGTTGTATTCTCGAAACGGATAAACATCAAATTGCACAGTCCATATCTTAAATTTGAAATATCAGTACTGTTTTATTACAAGTAGCAATACTTTATTGCACACACATATCACTTATTACCAGTAGATAGTAGATACAGGATCAAAGTGGGGTTACTACTTGTCCCTTGTGAACAAGTTTTAATATATATATATATATTATGTTGATCTCCTATGTATATATACATAGCAAACCCACCAGCACTCAATTTTGTTGATCTCCTCCAATATTCAACATGTTGTATCTTGGTCCACTTCGAACTACTGTAATATAGTAGTTTCACCTTCTCGGATTGCAGTTATGTATTGACGTCCACGATGAGAAGTTATATACGACCGGAGCTTCGAGAGTCGCCGGTTCTCAATGCCAGCCTTCACTATTTTGTACGAGAAGTAGTCCTTCAATGGGTCTTTATCAGATTTCTATATCATTAAAAGAAAATAATCTGCATGAGTAGGTAAACCATCCCATTGGATTTTCTTTTGTACATGAACCTCTTTCGATTTTAAATAAAAGAAAATGATCTATATGCATCGTGGTTTATATATAATACAATTGTATATGAACATAATGTTCCTATTTTTTATACAATCAAGATAGAACAGAGTAGTCTTGGACAAAAAAACAAAAAAAAAAAACATAAATGCAATACCAGTATAAATCTTTTAATGCTCTTTGAAGACAAATAATTATTTAAGACAAGAATTCAATAATTTACGTGTTTCGATTGCCAAACTAGCAACCTACGTGCATGAGAGAAGAGAGGGAGATGTTCTTATTCATTTTGTCTCAAGAGAGATCACATTAGTAATATATAAGGATGAAAGGATTATAGAATGCCACTGCTTGTGCAATTTAATTTGGTAACTGTCAAGAAAGAAAATACCAAAAACGTAGTCTTAATAATCAATCCACTAATAAAAACAAATCCCGTAATATCCTCTCTTTTCCACCAACAATGTTCACGCAGTCTACTAAAAGTCATGCATGATGCGTGCACATACTTTGGGTTGTAAATTTTACTTATTAACGTGTTAACAATATAGATCTGAAATTATACATAGGCCTTGCAATTCAAGACACGCCCCACAAACTCAGCGTAGCCTGAAATTAATACAGAATTAGCAGATATAAATTAATTTCAATAAGTACTTTGAGTGATAAATAGGTAAATCCGTTAAACTCATCCAATAAATAAGTTGACACGGCTCATTAAATATAAGAATAACGTCGCAATCACCACTTATATAGGATGGGTGAGGTATAGGATGACATATTTTCACACAATATGACTTAGACACGATACAATACAACAGACACAATTTACTGACGGCCCTAAATACATAAATCCAAAAATGAGAATACCAACTAGGCCGAATAAAATAAAAGTCAGTTATTGTTAGACAGGCATAACATGTTTAGTGAGTAATGTATAAAGAAAATGAGCATTTTTGACTATATTTATTTTTTAATTTTGTATTGTAAGCAAATTTTTATATCTAAATAGGTTTTCTATTATAACCAAAATTGCACAAATTAAAATAATATAATTTGAATATATGACACGACTCAAAAAGAATCCGTACAAAGGTCAACGGCTCGATTGACATTAGACCCCTGTCCAGTCCATCCCCCTCTCTACCCATAAAAAAAAAAAGGCAAAAAAAAAAAGTCAACGTGGTTACGGGGTGGGGGTGTCTGCTTGAATACTCTGAATGAAATGAGATCGAGGAGGATAAAGACAACTCACCTGTCCCTCGTACTTGGTATCATAATAGAGCCATGGCCCAAAGTGCTTATACTCGAACGTGCCGCTGCAAGTAGGCAACCTAGGAATAAGATCATTAGAGAAAACAAACCTAAAATACCGTATGCGATACTCTTCTAACTTTCTTGTCATGAACGCCGCAAACTCTTGGTTTCCAACCATAGGCTGCCCAAATGTGTACACTGCCTTCAACCTGTTCACTATATCCGATTCTTCGTGCAATAGTAGAACTGCCAAAAAGAGAATTGCCAGTGCGCCCCCCAAGCTGTGTCCAGTCAGAATGAATTTCGTTTGACGATTTCTCCTAAAGATTTCTCTCAATTTCTCTCGGATGGAGTAGTAAGCTAACGGGCGATTATCATCTCTGTCGACATCTCTAGGCCATTTGTCATCCATCTGTAACCCTAAGGCTCTCATAAAACCAGAATGGACTCTTTCGGTGCCTTGGCCGAACTTGCACCCAAAGATATTGACGTCGGTGCTCAATGCATGTACATCCAAGGGTTTGGTGCCTCTGAATACCACCACGATCATTTCAGGGTTGGGATTATAATCATGAAGCATGAAGGCTTTTGTTGAATGATTCTGTTGATACACTGCCAAGCATAGAAATAGAATCATCTTAAAAGTTGTCCAAGGATATTTAAGGGTATAGAAACTATAATAAGCAAACTCAGTAACTATATTACAGTCATTTTCTTATAAATTATTTTTATTTTTCCTTATGTCTAGTTCTTTTGTAAGAACTTTTTTTATTTTATTTTAAATCCATGTGTGTTAATGTAAAATCATATTTATGAAAAATGATTTTATCATTAAATATATAGATTCATATTCAGTGAACACACTTTTAATATTAACCACGTTTTTCACTCTCCCAAAAAAAAAAAAAAAAACTACCCTTTGCACCTAAATAAAAACACATTGATAAATAAATTAAAAACTATGCGAAAATGACAATAAAGTCCAAAAAGGATCGTTTAATGATCATAAACTCAAATAGTACAGTCTAAATTATATTGGGAAAAAATATCGTGTACTTCATTACCATTCCAAAAATCTTTCGCGTCCAAGAGGTTCATCTGCATGAGAGGAAAAAAATAAATTATGATAAATATTAAATATTGGAGAAAATATATAAAAACTTAGTTATATTTAGATTGTATGAGTTCAATATTTTTGTCAAATGAAATGTACTTGTATAATTTGAAGATTGTACTGAAATGGAGGCAAAATCTACATTGTATATGATTCTACCTACATTATTCCATTGTTTCTGAAGTACATCTTTTATGAACAGGTTATTCTTATATGCCATTTTGGAAGCAATTACGCAAAGTGTCGGAAAATATTTGATATCTTCAGGTTCGGTGAGCAGGTCTAAATCCTGTCTCTTGCTTGGACTTTTGAGAGAAGACAAATATTTATGTTCGTCTTCCTCCGGGACCTCCATCTTCCCTACAAGACATGCATTCAGGATCAATTGTTCACTCTGTCTCATATAAACAAAGAATTTACAGGAACAAGTTAGGGAAGGATAGCTGCAAATTAAAGGCCATAATCATCACGGCAGAGATGAAATTAGTTAGTGTCTGTTTAAGGGCACGATGGTTGAACGAGTTACACATTCTTGTTTGAAGCAATTATCAAACCGTAGGAGATGTTTGTTGTTATTAAAAATAACGTGAATATAATTAGATTTAAGAAACTTAATAACTATTGCAAATCTAAAATAGAAAGTCTACGGTTTAAAACAAAATAATGCACTCACATGGATGTAGAAAAGCAGCAACAACCAAACCAAAATAAATAAAGAATAAATTCGAGCCATATATCTACGGTCTCCTTAAGACAAATTTATTCCCTCTCGGTGCTTAAAGTAGATGAGCAATTGTCTCCCAAGATAGAACAGATTTACGTTTTTGACGAAGTAACACTTCAATCACCAAGACTCCAACAAACACAATTTTGCATCTTGTACTTGAACCGACGAAGAAGAACAATGATGCAACAATATGTATGCAAAGAGAGATGAAACATAATACAAAATTCTGAGGTTCAGAGATTTTTGTATGTTTAGTATTTTTCATCGGTAGAGAGGATACCTTTTCATAGACTACAAGCATCTGTTCAATTAAATTGAACATGAAACGGACGTAACTGTTCATCACACCTGTTCAGATATACACTCTGGACGACAATAATTACATGGCACGTATTTTAAAAACTAAATTAAAAAACTGTTGAACCAAACACTAGAAGGCGAAGATAACAGATCGCGAGGCAAGACGACCACCGGAGGGGATGCCCAAGGCAAGGGAAGGCACTAGGAACCCAAACCAAGGCGCTAAGGCCTTGGGCCCCAGTTGCTGGCCCCTGCTTGTATCGTCCATTACTCCAATATGATTCATTTTTTATTCAACTCTAAATTTAAAATTTTAATCTATTATACCAATACAAATTAGTAATTTTTGAAGCATAATTTTTCATTAAAATATTAACATTTTTCAACAAATATTTAAATTATGGACCCACTAATTTCGATGTGTGAGTCTCATTTTTAATTTATTTTTATTACTATTTTTTCGAACATTTATTTCCAAAGTCTGTCTCAGGCAGTTGGGTAAGCGGGAAGTAAAGGCTAGAAGCATCACAAAGAAGTGCAGAATTATCAACGGTATGTTCATATGAATGATATTATTTTGACTTGATTTAACTTTGTTCTTATAATAGTCGTAGGGTTTTTGCTCGTTGTGTTGTGATTCACTATTATGTAACAATAAGGCCGTGTTACTACTATTTAAGTTCTCATTTACCTAACCAATGAGTTTTTTGTTCAATTGTATTTTTTATCTTGTAAAAACTTTGTCTTCTTAAGGTCAAAAGATCAAATTCCCCTTCCCCTTCCCCTTTCCCTTAAAAAAAATAAAAAATAAAAAAATAAGTTCTCATTTACCTAATATTTTTAGGCACCGATTACTTCTAGTATACATATATCTATGAACAAAATATATAAACTAAATTGTTTCTAGACTGACGAGTAAAAAAAACATGGTTGAAATTATGCTCAATTTGGTATGATGGAAAAATGAAAAGATAGAACATTGAAAGGATGAAAAGTTTAAAAGATAAATAAAATATCATGTTTGGTAAAGAAAAAAAATAAGAAGGATGAAAAAGTGGATGAATTAACTTTCATTCTAACTCACCAAAATCAATCCCTCTAAAATCAGAAGAAAAGTGGATGAAAAGTTAATTATTTATGTTGAGATGTATCTTATTTGTCTATATATCTTTTGATATATACATATATTATGTATATATTAATTTCATATAAAAATACAATGATAACATATATATATACTAAAAAATTTTAAAAATAAATTTAAAAATAAATAAAAATAAAAATTTTAAATTAAAAAAATATTTTTTTCATCTTAGCTACGAGTGAAAATTTTCGACTTAACAAGATGATACAACTCGAATAAACACTTTCTTTATTTTATCATTTGTAAAATAACACGAAACTAACATGTTTAACTAGTATTATAGACATAAAATGTTAATTATTTGTAACTATTTATTAAGCACTTACATAATTATTATATAAAAAAATATTTTTAATTATTATTATTATTATATTTATTTAACTTAATTTTTTAGTTTGTAGAAAAAAATATTAACATGGATTCAATTAATTTAAAATAGAATGTTAGCGTTAAATTTTTTATTAAATGTTTATGTGGGTCAATACGAATACGAACACGAACACAATACGAAAATAAGCAGGTCAACTTATAACTTGACACGACACAATTAGTTAAATGAGTTAAGTTAGATATGACTAATGTTCAATATAAACCAGTAATAAGTCAACACAAATCTGACACGATATGATACGACTCAATTATCATCCCTAATCTTAGCCAGTACCAAAAAAAAAAAAAATTAATCATTTTTATTTTTCATCTATCGTACCAAAAACAAATAAAGGAAAGTGTATCATTCCTACTTTCTTTCTTCGAAGGATAGAAAGTATATTCCCCTTACTTTTCATCTTTTCTACTTTCCATCATTTCTACCAAAGGGAACATTAACTCTTTTATAAAATGAGCTATTAAAATGATTTCGAACTCTGTTCATTTCACAATCCGTATACGAACTGATCCTGAATTATTCAAAAACAACTTAAAGTCGTTTTGCAGACCAATGCTAACATGGTAAGAAAACAGACCTAGCTTTGTAATAAATTTTCTAAAAGCACACAAGTTGTTACCTGATTTCTCAATCTTTTTTCCAATCCTTGAACGCGCTATGATTCTCGTAATTTTCGACATTTGATCACTGGAAGCAATGATGAAGCTTTGGGAAGAACCTGGCTAGTTGAGATTTTTATATATCTTGATAATAACTCAGCTGCAGAAACTGTTAGAATAACTGGCCACGAAGGCTTGGCCTTTTTGTGGAATGAAATGGTAGTTGAGATTTTTATATATCATGATAAATACTCAGCTGCAGAAACTGTTAGAATAACTGGCTACGAAGGCTTGGCCTTTTTCGTGGAATGAAATGCAAGCCGCCACAAAGGCCATGATCAATGGCAAAAACAGTCATTGGAATTTTAATTTATACTCTCAAAAATTAAAAATTTTAATCTATATATTTAAATATCAAAATTTATATCAATATTCACCTCTATCTAACAATACTGTGTAAAACTAAATGTATAAATTATGCTTAGACCCCTCTCATACTTGTCACTTAATCACATAGATCCCTCACATTTGAAAAATTATACCACTATCTCTTGAGAATCTTAATACGACTAAAAACGTTCCTTCAATTGAACATTCAAATAATTATATTTAAGTGATATATTGTATTGGATATAAAGAACAATGTATTAGGCATTCAAATTGTTAGTTTAATTTTGAATTTTAAAATATAACAGACCCACAAAATAAAGGGTAGTATGAAATTATAATTTTTTATTAGGATGAAATCATATTTTTTAATAGTTATATTAACATATATCAACGGCAAAGGGTTATATATTATCCATACACAAATGTCAGGAATTATAAGAGTAATATTTTAAATGTAAAGGGGATCAAAATAATTAAGTGGTAAGTATGAGGAGATCTATGTATAATTTATTCATTTAGTTCTAGACGACAATCAAACGGTTGTAAATTTTAGGTGTGCATTAACACAAATTTATATATTTGAGAGTACACAGGAGGTGGCTCAACAGCATTAAAAAAAAAGTTAGGATTTTACGCTCCAAATTTTTAAAAGGCTTCACAATTTTAAATACATTACTAACAAAGAAAAATTTAAATCCTTGAAATTTTAAACCCAAAAAATTAAGTACAATCAAAATTTCTATTTTAATAATTTGGGCAATACTAACACGTCCTTCTTCTGTCTCTTTTTTATATAATAAATTATTTTTTAAAAAAATTTAATATTAAAAATAAAAAAAAACCCTCATTTAGTATTTTCACTTTAAGTCTCAAATTTTCTTGTCATTGAGGGTACAAATTAAAATTTTTATCTTTAAAGGTATAAATTGAGATTCGAATAAACTTTCAAGGGACAATTTATAATTAAATCTTACTTTAATGGAATGCACAAACTATTACAAGGCTTGGAATACCTTAAACTTTTGAATGGTTGCAAACGTACGTTGATGTTTTCCGATGTTGACTCGAGTCCAGAATGCACTAACTATTACAATGTTTCCGCCGTTGACTCGGGTCAACGTACATTGATGTTTTCCTCCCGAATGCACTAACTATTACACGACTTGGAAGTATTACAAGACTTGGAATGCTTCAAACTTTTGAATGGTCGCAACACGAGAAAATATTTGGGGTAACAGTAGCACCACGTGTCAACGATCACGTGGTGTTACCAATAAATTATAAAATAATAAATAAAATTGATAAACTCCGTTATTTTAATATAACAAAAATAGTGATTCAATCACTTTTATTGATCTGAAATATAAAATTTAACAAATAATTTGATAAATATAACGCTGCTCGTGTGTTATATGCCATGTGAAGTTTTAGTCACCTGTTCTTAATTGTTGCATTCGTTTGCTAAGTATTTAACTAATGCAAGCCTACAACGGTGAAGGGACGGTAATTGCTAAAGAAAAGAAAAAAACAGCAGGGAGAGGAAGTATTGATTTCCGAAAAATAATAATAAAATTTATACAGGTGAATAAAATAATCATTTATTGTATTAAAAAGCTAAACAGGTGAATAAAAAAATCCACTGCATTATACCCAAACATTTAAGAGATTGTTCAACACCTCTAGTGTGACAACAAACAACAAAAACACAGTTCAACAAAGAAAATACTGCTTTATTACTTAGCACTAAAACCAAACCAAAGAACACCACCCTGTGACATCACAACCAACACCAGGGCCACATCCTTGATTAAGCCCCTGATCCTCCTAGAAAACTAGATATCCTTTGTCGTCACCTGCTTGGCGTGAATTACGCCTAGGTTAGTGTCCTCAAACAGAGTCCCACAAGGTAAGCCTCTGTCAGCACTGCATGGCTTTGGAAGGTCAATCTGCAACAAAGAACCCAAAACAATCCACACAAACAGATGTAACGCCTCCATAACTCGTGAACCAACCATATTTCAAAGCAAATAACTAATCAAAAAAAAAAAAAGCTAATCCCAGGCATATGTGATAGCAAGATACTTGCAAATGCAACACAGAGCGAGAGAGAGAGGGTAATTGATATTTGGCTATGGTTAAGCAATGGCAGAGTAGACTAGATTCCATCGGTTTTTCTTACGAGTAGACTAGATTCATCAATTTAAATAAAAAAGAAACTTGAATAGTTGAATTAATAAACTCTTGGTGTGAAACAATGAACAGTGTCAACATATCACAAAAATCTCCCACTAAATGGACAAGAAAAAGAAAGCTGCCAATCAAAACTAAAAAAATCAAAGGCTACAGAAAGGGTAAGCAGTGTATATAGTATTAAATTCTTATGCTACAGTATAATAGAACAGGGTGTGATTAAGTCCCATTTACAAAATGAAAGAGAAATAAGAGGAAATAAGACCACAGAAAGAGAGAATCAATGTTTGGATACTTTACAGCCATGCAGTACCAGAAAAAACATGATTCAAGTGCAGAAAGAAATGGGTCTGTAACAAAAAGGAAAAGGGCTAGAAAAGCAGGTGATGTAGACCATAGCTACATTTATTCCTCAATTTCCTCCCCCCTCCCCCCCAAAAAAAAAAAATTGCAGAGGAGCCCGCAGACTTCTCCTTTTGGAATTAGTTCCTTTTCTTTCTCTCTTTCTTATTTCTTTGCTCCTATGTATTTTTTTAGTAAGTTTCTCTGCTTTACTAGTGTCCAACCCTTCAGGGACTCAATTTTTTTAGTAAGTTAAACCAATGGCAAATAGTGTCCTACAACCACTACAACAAACAATCCACAAAGGGTTTTCATTAGGCTCACCCAAAACCTCCTAACACCACTACAACTCAATTTTTCTATCATGGAATGTAAATTACAAAGTTGACATTTAAATAAAACAATTTGAAACACTTGGAATTAACGTGAATGAAAAAGAGATACAAACTAAGTGTAGAGCCCCGTATATATATAGTCAAACAATAAAGATACAATAAAGCTAAAAAAGTAAAACAAAGGTAAAAAAGGAAAACCTAATATCTAGGCTATAACTTCAACATTCCCCCTCAAGTTAGGCGCAAAAATATCAACTAAGCCAAGCTTGACAACCGAGTTCTAAAGAATGGATAGTGTGACAGGTTTAGTGAAAACATCCACAACCTGATCACTATTCTCCACAAACAATAGAGTAACAATATCATGGCTAACCTTCTCTCGAAAAAAGTGAATATCGATCTCTATATACTTCATCCTCTCGTATAGTACAGAGTTAGAAGCGAACTGAATAGCAGATTGATTATCATAATATAATGTGGATCCAGAAGTCACTAGAAATCTCAACTCACCAAGAATCGATTGTAGCCAGATAATCTCACACGTGCCAAGTGCTAGTGCCTGATACTCTGTCTTTGCTGACAAGCGGGAGACAACTGTCTGCTTTTTGTTTTTTCAAGAGATAAGATGAGTCTCTCGAAAAGCACAGAAGTTCGTAGTATATCGACCGTCACATGCTCCCCCATAATCTGAATCTGAATAACAGGCTAGAGAACCAATTTGAGATTCTGATGCATAGAACAACCCAAGTCCAAGACAAGACTTGAGGTACCGAAGAATATGATAAATTGCATCAAGATAAGGCTGACACTGTTTGTGCATGAACTGACTAACCCGGATGACTGCGAATGAAATCTCTGACCTAGTATTGGCTAAGTAGATAAGTCTATCTACCAACCTCTGATAAATAGTCGGATCTCTTAACTCCTCACCTTCAGCAGTAAGCTTTAGGTTTAGAATCATGGGTGATGATGCCAGTTTGTACCCCAACATCCCAGTGTCTGAAAGGAGATCCAAAACATATTTTTCTCTAAGAAAGAATAACACCCCTACTGCTACAAGCAACCTCAATCCCAAGAAAGTATCGCAAAAATTCAAGGTTATTCACATCGAAGGCCTTCCCAAGGTCTACCTTGACATGCGCAGTCCTAGAAATATCATTCCCAATAATAATAATATCATCAACATATACCAAAAGGATAACACACTGTCCAAAAATATTTCATCAAATAAAGCATGTATGATCAGAATGACATCTGGTAAACCCCAAACGTACGACTACATCACTAAAGCGAGAGAACCAGGCTCGTGGTGACTGTTTCATTCCATAAAAAGATTTACACAGTCGACATACCTTTTCAGCATACTCCCCCTCACCACGAAAGGTTGGTGGTGCATCCATAAATAATCTCGTCCAAATCACCGTGAAGAAACACATTCTTCACATCTAACTGATGAAGATGCCAAAAGTACTCCGCAACCAGAGAAATAATTAATCGAAAGTAGTCAATTTTGCCACGGAGGTAAATGTAGCACCAAAATCATGACCTGGTACCTGAGTAAAGTCCTTTATCACAAGTTTAGCCTTGTGACGATCAATAGTACTATCCGCAAGAAACCTTAAGGTATAAACCCAACGATAGCCAACAGGCTTCACCCCTAAAGGTAAAAAGACAAAATCACATGTATGATTACGCTGAAAAGCGTCCATCTCCGTCTGAATGGCAAGAACCCACTGAGGTTCCCGCATAGCCTCTGAAACAGAGCGAGGAACTGGTGTATCTGATAAGACCATGCTATAAGCTCGAAATGTAGGAGACAAATCACCATAAGAAACATAAGTAGAGATCGGACATAAAATCCTAGCGGTCCAACCATAACGATCAATTGGACAACGATCACGCCACGGATAACGACGCCCTAAATCATCATTCTCCACTGACAATGTCTC